ACATTCCTGTGGATGCTTGTTATGCTGTGGATATTTTTTTCTTGGGGGTGGGGGGGTGGAGTCAGCCTTGAGCACCTAGAGGAAAAAATTGTGGGAGTTTCAAAATTGCATTACCAGTGGGAGGGGCCTAAAACTTGAGTCTATTCATTGTGTACCTGTAACACATGGCCAATCCTTTAAACCAAAAATATCCTTTAATTAATAGTGGTCAGGAGTGTGTGTAACACACAGAGCACAGGGGTCAGGAGTGAATAAAGCACAGGTCAGGAGATGGAGTACAACAAATAATCACCTTGTTAGCAAATTTACTAAACATGTGTGGTAACATACACAGTGGTGTTTATTTAGTAAAGCTGGTTCACTCAGAAACTCATGAATTTCTGCACAGAAACCAATCAGCTTACAGGTTTTATTGCTTAAAGCTTAATTGAACAAGCTGAGGTTAGAAGATGATTGGCTACCATGCACAGTGCGCAAGAGTATGAGATGAGTGAACCAGCTTTAGTAAATAAAGCCCTGGGTGTGTGTATATATATTGTAATGGGATTAGCTTGGCAGTGGGTGTGTGTGACCCCCTGGATGGGTGCACAACACAAAATGACAGGCACAGTACAATAACAGTGGAGGTGAAAAAAAAAAAAAAGTGCAGTTTATTTACAATATGTACAGAAAATGTCAAACCAAAAAGAAACATCAAATTAAATCCTGGCCAACTTGGCTACTTACTGTACCAACAGCTTTCCCTAGCTACCCACTAGGTACAGCCTGATGCTATACCTAGTTGCTAGTAGTTGGAGGCTAGCCACACAGATAGGCTGTTTGCTCCCCCAGCCAGCTCAGGCACAGATCTGGTTCCAGGTTGGAGCAACTCCCTAAGCAAGCTGGGAAGTTTTATACCAGCCTTAATGAGCCCAGTACCTTCAGCTGGGCTCATTACCTCAGTGCTGAAGGACTCAGCACTTCCCATCTAGTGGAACAAATCCCCATAAAGTCTGAACCTCGGACAAATGTATCGTCCATCCAGGACGCAACCAGGTGATCTCACCTGCCTACTGTCACAATATATATATATATACAAAAATATATGGGACACCCCTCCAAATCATTGGATTCAGGTGTTCCAATCACCTCCATGGCCACAGGTGTATGAAATCAAGCACCTAGGCATGTAGATTTCTTCTACAAATGTGTGACGGAATGGGTCACTCTCAGGAGCTTAGTGAATTCAAGCGTGGTACTGTGATAGGTTGCCACCTGTGCAATGAGTTCATCCGTGAAATTTCCTTGCTACTAAATATTTTGCAGCTGTTAGTGGTATTGTAACAAAGTGGAGGAGCTGCGAACAACAGCAACTCAATAACGAGGTGGTAGGCCACATAAAATGGCAGAACAGGTCAGCGCATGCTGAAGCCCACAGTGCGTACAAGTTGCCAACTGTCTTCAGAGGGCAATAGATAAAGAACTCCAGACTTCATGTGCCTTCAGATTAGCACAACAGTGCGTAGGGAGCTTCATGGAATGGGTTTCCATGGTCGAGCAGCTGCATCCAAGCCTTACATCACCAAATGCAATGCCAAGGGTCGGATGCAGTGGTGTAAAGCACACTGCCACTGTACTCTAGAGCAGTGGAGACGTCTGGAGTGACGAATCTCGCTTCTTTGTCTGGCAATCCAATGAACCAGGGGCGGACTGACAACTGATGGGGCCCCCGGGCAATAGTGGATCATGGGGCCCCTGTGTCCTTGCCCCAAACTCAAAAAAGCCTATGAAAAAGGTATCGGGCATCTCATGGGGCCCCATACTGACCCCGGGCCCTCGGGCAGTGCCCGAATTTCCAAATGGTCAGTCCGCCCCTGTGATGAACGTGTCTGAGTTTGGCAGTTTCCAGGAGAACGGTACTTGCCTGACTGCATTGTGCCAAGTGTAAAAGTTTGATGGAGGGGGGATTAGGGTGCGGGGTTGTTTTTCAGGGGTTTCCCTTGGTCCCACTCTTAAGGCATTAGCATACAAAGACATTTTGGGACAATTTCATGTTTGGGGATGGCACCTTCCTCTTCCAACATGACTGCACACCAGTGCACAAAGCAAGGTCCATAATGATATGGATGAGTGAGTTTGGGGTGAGAGGAACGTGACTGGCCTGCACAAGAGTCCTAACTCAACCCGATAGAACACCACCTTTGGGATGAAATAGAGCAGAGACTGCGAGACAGGTCTTCTCGTCCAACATCAGTGCCTGACCTCACAAGTGCAGTTCAGGAAGAATGGTCAAACATTCCCATAGACACACTCCTAAACCTTGTGGACAGCCTTCCCAGAAGAGTTGAAGCTGTTATAGCTGCAAAGGGTGGGCCAACTCAATATTGAACCCTACGAACTAAGACTGGGATGCCATTAATGTTCATTTACGTGTAAATGCAGGCGTTCCAATACTTTTGGCAATATAGTATATATATAAATATATATATATATAAATAAAAAGCACTGTTGGCACTATATAAATCCTGTATGGTTTTTTATTTTTGCCATTGAACTACGCTGGGGAAGCGATCAGTATATATATATATATATATATATATATATATATATATAATATATATATATTAATATTTTACACAGTATGATTGCCTATAGCAGTGAGTGTCACTGCTATAGGCAAGCATTTAACAGAATGAAATTGATTAAGCCTGGGTTTCACATATGTGCGGCTTGGTATAATCGCACTGCATTACTGTGCAAATCACAAGAGATTTGTGTGTGCGGTGCGATTGGAGCCATACATTTTGTATGGCTCTATTCACACACTGCACCCGCACCAAAAATGTGCAGGACCACTTTTTTAGTCCACACTAGAATCGGATCGCATAGGTATTCACACCTATGCGATCCGATTCTGCACATCGCACCATGTTTTGCGGAGCGCTTTCAGGGTGTTGTTAACTTAACATACACACCCACAGTGCTTCGCATGAACGGGTGTGCGATTCTGATGCAGTGCGGAATTCACATTGAAAACACTGCAAATTCCGCACCGCATCAGTGTGAACCAGGCAGGCCTATTCATTGTTTTTTGTGATTAACTGTGATTGGCCACAGCTAATCACAAGATACAGATGGGCTGTGATTGGCCCAGTCTGTACATGTGATCACTGGGACCAATCACAGCTAACAACACAGTTTGTATACAATGGGAGGCATAAAAAGAAGCCGGTCCATTGTTTACAATTGCCATGTGACCTGCTGTGATTTGGTGGTGCTGGCAATGAGCTGGAACACATATTGGTCACACCTATGGACATAGCTTGTGACAGATCTCGCCACAGTGCAGCCCCAACAGGCGTACACAAGGCAGCGATCTGAGAGGGCATCATATAACGCCTGTTCTGTCTCTCCAATCTAAGCATTGAAAGTGTGATCTCTGTAACTTACAGTTGTGATGAGATAGCGATAACTCCAATCTTATTTGAATAAACAGGCAGTGACTCGATCCAGACGACACCTTTTAGATCTTGTGAAGTTTATTCCATAAACTGAGAGAATCTTACAACAATGAACATCAGATAGGTCAAAAGATCATAATGTGATCTGCTTCATGACATGAGGCTTTGAAGCTGATGTGCATTACTGGGAACATGAACAAAGGGGTAGAGCTATCTATACAGCATGAACTAAACCAAAGGAAAGGGTAGGAGCAGCAGCAGAGACAAAGTACAAAGAACACTTAAAGGCATATGACAGTCATGTGAAACATGACAATGCCCACCAGGGATTGAAGAGAGTCCCCTCTCAGACATCATTTTCTTATAGGCTGGATGGGAACTGGTTAAAAAGGTTTTGCCTTTACAATCATTTTAATGCTATGTAACGTAATGCGTGACACAGGGAGGTTGATTTACTAAAGGCAAAGTCACTGTGCACTGCAAGTGCAGTTGCTCTAGATCTGAGTGGAAACTCTCTGACAATGATGGGAAGCTCTGCTAATTTCTCTATCATCCAATCATGTGCAAGCAAAAATGCTGTTTTTTTTTTCCCTTGCATGTTCCCCTCAGTGCACATCCTATTTGCCTTTAGTAAAATCAACCCTAATATAAGTTAATGCACATTAGTGCAACAAACAAGAATCCCAAAGTGTAAATGGGCCCTTAAAATCTTCTCTCCAAAAGACATGAATATTTTTCTATTATTCACTCAGGTTTTACAACTCTCAGGCTGACAGGCATTCATGTTCAGCACTTGTTGCTACACTAAATAAAATCCATCTAGGTGTCTTCTAATTTATCTCCTATAGGGAATTTTAATCCTAAAACATTGATAGTTTGACTTTTTGTAATGGGCACCTAGAAGTGTCAGCATTTATCTTCAGTCCTTTTACCAGCCCCAGGGTTCATATTTTGTACTTATAGGTGCTACTGCCTGGGTGTTTCTGAGACATTCTAGACATAAAAATGTAAGCATTACTGTTATAATTGACAAGTGTGATATATGGTAGATTACCATGTAACCAGGAAATACAGGGTCTGGCAGAGATTAAATTATTTCTATATATTTTCCCTGTAAACTGTCTTTAATATCTCACTCTGTGCTCTTCTATACACAAGAATGAGTACACAAGAATATCCTCTCTGCAAGATAAATTACTGGTCTACAGGAACATATTTATATAATTATTGGAAGAAGCAACGCATTGAATTTTATGTGATGATAAGTGAAATATCAGAAAGGATATTCTGCAGCCAGCTGGTAAGAGGAAAGCATTACATCTGGATGTTTTTTGTATGACAGATGTCATCCTTGGATCGCTGTGTGTCTAGCACAGTAATATGTGGCCGTGTCTTCCACTTTCAGATTTTCTATTTGTAGATATGCTGTGTTTATGGACTTATCAGATGTTGGTATTGTGAATCTTCCCTCATATGAAGAGGAATAATCTGTCTCTCCATTATCAGGATCAATCCCCCCAATCCATGTCAGTCCTCTCCCTGGAACCTGTTGAACCCAGTTTATATAGGTGTCAGCAATCTGAATCCAGATCCTACACAGGACATCTTCACACTTTCTCCCGGCTTTTTTATATCTGAGGAGGGCTGAGTAAGTGTTTGTGACATGACCCCTGTAACCAAGAATCAAAATATGATCAGAAATAAGATGATCCCATCAGAATGGTTTTCCCATGCTTTTTTCTGTATTCCAGACTTACCAAGAAATGAGGAACAGATACAAAATACAACAGAATAGAAACATGTTGTCTTCTTGGCTTTAGATGTTGTGAATGTTCTGAGCGGACACCAAGATCTCACTAGAACATCCGGCCGGTTAGTTCAGCTTTTCTAGCTGGCAGGATGAGGCAGGAAGCAGAGATGGGATTTGCATGAAGGGAAGAAGACTATAAAAGGCTGAACATCCTCCCGCACCTAGAATAAGAATTTTGTGTGCCTTGATGTGATATAGAGAATTATAAATGAGGATGTCCTGCAGCCAGCTGGTAAGAGGAAAGCATTACATCTGGATCTTTTACTATAACAGATGTCATCCTTGGATCACTGTGTCTCTAGCACAGTAATATGTGGCCGTGTCTTCCACTTTCAAATAGTCTATTTGTAGATCTGATGTGGTTGAGGATGCATCAGATGTTATTGTGAATCTTCCCTGATATGAAGAGGAATACGCTGTACCTCCATTACCAGGATAAATCCTCCCAATCTATGTCAGTCCTCTCCCTGGAACCTGTTGAACCCAGTGCATATAGTATCTGGTATACACAGTATACTGGTAAAACCTGATCTCTATAACAAATGTATTATTTTAACTATGAAAAGTGTTTTGCTGACCTGCCCTACACATTTAATCAACCCTTAAATGATTGCATTTGTTATGTTGAAAAGCCAGTAAAGGAAAAGTTGTGGTTGAAAAAAGGACTGTGGACTTGGGTTTAGTCAAATTGGGTTTAGCCAAATATTATTTTATTTATGGCCAACCTAACCAGGAACATTGATGTGCCTGTTCTTAGCCTATGTACTTTGTGCCACAATGGGGGTTTATTTACTAAAGCTGGAGAGTCCAAAATCAGACTCCCTTCTGCATAGAAACCAATCAGCTTCCAGGTTTCATTGCCAAAGCTTCATTGAACAAGCTGAGGTTAGAAGCTGATTGGTTTCTATGCAGAAGGGAGTCTGATTTTGGACTCTCCAGCTTTAGTAAATAAACCCCAATGTGTCTATTTTTCTCATCTTATAATTTTGGAAGATATATTTGGCATAGATAAGGGAGAAGTTATGGGGGCCCAAACCCCAACAGACCATCTATCTGTGGCACAGTAACATTTTTTGTGCCCAGTGAAGGGATTGACAGGCCACTAGGACAGAGAAGGAACACTGTGGCTGCTTCAGTGGCTAGACAAGCCCCATCCAGTGAACACAAAGGGAAAGAAGGAGAAACAGTGGTTGTGAACTGAAGCCTCACCACTATTCAATGGAAATCAGAGCTAGGGAGAGGGCTAGGGGGACAGACCAGGATCACCAACTGTCAGTAGATCTGCAGTATATGGACAGTTTGTAAAAATCCTGCAGATATTTTTGTTGCCCATGACAGAATTTAGCAATGTCCATAAAAATCACTCTCTTCCCCACCAGCAATATCCACCACTCTTCAGATGCTAATACAGCAGCTGGGATCTACATGTGCAGTGTTTACATAGCAGGTTCCTCCTCCGCATCTCCACTTAGGAAGAAATTATGAAACAAACCCCCTATTATTTTTCCTCCCATACACAGACCTGGCCTTGGAAACTGATGAATCAAAGCAGACTGCCCCATCCCTCCACAGTTTATTGCAGGAAAACATATTGTGGGCTACTGGGCTGCGTAAAAACCCTGTCAGAAATGTTAATGTCTTATGGCATTCCTTATTCCACTATGCATACAAATTATTTTTAGCAGATCCTATAGAAAAATAGAAACTATCTCTACTACTACTGTCTAGAAAAATACTGGTATTTTTTTTTATGATTGAATAACTTTCATAACTGACTTTTAGTTATTATAAACACAAAAAATTCGGACATTGCACTGACCTTCTTTTCCTTCTTAGTTATTCCTCTTGTTGGTCTGGTTTATTGACCTCCTGAAAAACACAATATTACTGATCAAGAGTTACATTACACTAAGGGCTGAAACACACTCTAATGAATGATACAAAATGCATTAACGTGCAGGAACAGAGAGATTTGGAATGGGCTTTTATATCATTTGGACCAAATTCTGTATTATTGCATTTGTTTTTTTAAACAGTCGATATGAAGTAAAAGTAGTGGTTCCATACATTACTGCATATTCACTGTGTAAGATCAAGTTATAAACCTCTTCCACTGTTTTTTTTCCACACCCGCAATTAACCATGGCATGATGTGCACACCACCACCTCCTTCTTCTCTCTTAGAAGCCCTAGACCAAACTCCCCAGGAAAAAATGTGTCTATGGCCCTGGAAGATATGTACATGGATATATAAATTACCAAGACCCTTTAAATCAAATATGTATGGAAAATGGGACAAACATACCCATCAGTCCTTATGAGATTCTTGCACTGATTTTGTAGATTTCCCCATTAGCTCCAGCAATAACAGGCTGATCTTTTGTATATAACATTCAGCAAGTCAGAACTGTTGGCTGGGTGTAATATATAATGCTAATAAATATACACCATATGTTAAATGTATACAATATATAACATTAAAATATCCACAGAAGGATGCTTTATGAAATAGGTGCACTTTAATCAGTCACTTGTGGATTACTATAGGTAGACAAACTCAACAAAAAAATTGCAAAACTATCTAGTCGAACACTAAGAAAAGGTAGTATGTTACCTCAGGTTGGGTTTCTCCAACATGCACAAGGGCTCTAGCTATTCTAAACAACTCAAGTTTGAAGTGCGCAGTGTCCACACTCTTAGCACAGAGACATCCACCACCCAGTGACACATATTAAAGCCTACCCTTTGATGTTGCACGTATGTTTTTCGAAGGGTGACAACAGGTCGGGGATTGGTAAACTGTAGTAATGGGCCAAACACCCCCGTGTTCAGTTCACAGTAGAACATTCGAACCTAATGAACATTCGACGTGAACTTTGAACTCAATGCAAGTCTATGGACTCGAACTTCGAAATTCAAAAGTACCCGTTTTGAAGGCTTAAATGCAAATTATTGGTCATAAAAGGGGTATAAGGGCTTGGGTACTGGCCTGAGGAACATGAATCAATGAAAAAAAAATAATTCAACTAATACTGTTTTTAAAGGTTTTATAGGGATTTTAAAGGTTGTAATTTTTCATTGCTTAAAGTAAAAAAAAAAAAAAAATTCCTTTAAACCACTTGCCTACCGGGCACTTCCTGCCCAGGCCAATTTTCAGCTTTCAGTGCTATTGTACTTTGAATGACAATTGAGCCATCATGCAACATTGCATCCATATGAAATTTTTATAATTTTTTTTCATGCAAATAGAGCTTTCTTTTGATGGTATTTAATCACCACTGGGGTTTTTATAGTTTTTTTGCACTATAAAGAAAAACAGAGCAAAAATTTTGAAAAAAAAAGTTTTTCTTTGTTTCTATGATAAAGTTTTGCAAACAGGTAAATTTTCTCCTTCACTGATGTGCGTTGATGAGGCTGCACTGATAGGCAGCACTGATAGGCAGCACTAATGGGTACTGATGAGGTTGTTGCACGGATGGGCAGCACTGTTAGGCTGCACTGATGAGGCGGCACTGGTGGGCATTGATAAGGAGGCTGCAATGATGATGATGATGATGCTGCAATGATATGCAGCAATGATGGGCACTGATAGGTAGCACTGATGGACACTGATAGGTGGCATTGATGGGCACTGATGGGTGGCACTGACTGGCGACACTGATGGACAGCACTGCCGAGCGCAACTGCTGGATGGCACTGCTGGGCAGCACTGATGGGTGGCACTGCTGGGCACTGGTGGGTGGCACTGCTGGGCACTGATGCTCAGGGCACTGATCATCAGTGCCATGATTATGAGGTGCAGATGTCCTCTGTGACATTTGCTGGTTATTGGCTGGTTAAAGTGCTGCCAATAACTGGCAACTGTATTTACTTTGTGATCTGCTGTCTCATTGAGGGTGAATGTCACCAGCACATCGAGGATCACCAACATGGGTCCAAAAGTTTTAATGAACGATCACATAGTTACAGCAAGGCAACGTTTCGAATTCTGCCAGGACCCCTTCATCAGGGTTCAGATACCTGATGAAGGGGTCCTGAGAGACTTCGAAACATTGCTTTGCTGTAACTATGTGATCGTTCATTAAAAACTTTTTGGACCCATATTGGTGATTCTCGGTGTGCTGGTGACATTCACCCTTGCTGATTCTGTTCGGTTCCAGCCGACAGTTGCTGCAGCACCCACTTATACACACAGCCATTTTTAACGCAGGAACGAGTGTGTTTGGATTGTACACTCGCTGTTGTGTCATTGGATACAGCTGATCATGTGGTAAAAGGCCACTGTGATTGGCCTTTTACCTAGTCATGTGATCAGCTGACAGCACCGAGTGCGTGCTGCTGGGGGCACGTGGAGGGCGCGATCTGGAAGGACGTCATATGATGACTCCCTCCCAGAACTGGATAACCATGTTGTAGTCGTCTTTCAGCTATAGCGTGCTTGTAAAGTGGTTAAATATCATGCCTGGGGGGTCCCCTTAAACTACCTGTGCAGTTGAATGTATAGAACCTAGTGCAGCAGGACTAACTTTTTTTTTTTTTATTACATTTTTATGGAAAAAAATTAAAAAACAGCGTGGGGTCCCCCTCCAATCCATTCCAGATCCTTTAGGTCTCAATTCAAAAAACAAAGTGTGTGGGGTTCCCCTCAAAAGCCATTCCTTTAGGTCTAGTAGCACTTTTAAGGGGAACCCCACCCCACAAGAATAGTGGGGTCCTGCCTAAATTCCTACCAGACCCTTGATCTGAGCGCAGGCCTGGCAGGAAAGGTGGGGTGATCAAGCCCCCCCCCTCCCAGTTCCCTTGGCAATGGAACAAGGGCCTCTTCCCCACAACCTTGGCCCAGAGGTTGCAGGGG